GTTGCTTTCAGATGCAACCAAGGGAGACATTATTAAGAAAGAAAGAATTTTCAACCTTTAAAAAGGTCCTGCTCAGTTCAGGACTTTTAGGATGGTCTGGATGTTTTATCCAAACTGCTTCACTTAATCACTATGGGAACTTTCCTATCTAGCCTAGACAAAGGAGATAGTATTTAATTCTACAGTAAATACCTCAGACAGTAAGTATTGCTTTAACAGAAATAAGAATTATTTCTTTGTCTTGGCACGCATTGTTAGGAACTGGGCTGGATGGCTAAGGAATTCATCATGTAGAATCACTGTAGATAAGGCCAGATGATATCATGTTGTGCAGAAAAGAAGGGAAAACTGGGGAAACAAAAGGCAAAAGAGATGTGTGGAGTTGCTGCCCCTTCCTTTCTGCTAAGTGGGTTGTGCCCACTGCTGCTAATGGAGGAAGCCCCTGGCCCTCTCTTAATTTTTTTTTTCCCTCTCACTAGCATGTCTGTGACTTGAAAATCAGTGAGAAATGTCTGCAAATAGATGGATGTGCAATTTTTCTTTATTCTAAAGTTCAATTCTTTTACAAGGACAGAAGAGAGATTGTTTTTGGAATTCTTCAATCAGAGACACTCCCTTTCTGTACAAGCATCTCTTTTATTCACTTTCTCTTCGGTTTGTGCTTTTTTTTGTTCAGTTTGTTTGTTTTGTTTGTTTTTGTAAGACTGCCCTATAAGCTTTGCATGCTAATGTTGTCTCTGGTCAGAATCACAGAATGTTCTGAGCTGGAAGGGACCCACAAGGACCATTGGGTCCAACTCCAAAGGGAACGGTCTGTCCAGGGATTGAGTCCATGACCTTGGTGTTATTTGCCCTCAGCGTGCTCTGTATGTTCAGTAATTCTATGCTTTATTTATTTTATGCTTCTGCTGGATTGGGAATAGGATAAATTCTTAGATTTGTCTGGCTTTTAATTTGCAGCCACCACTGCATGTAGGAACTGATGGGGATTCCTGCTGCCATCAGTTGTTTCAACAGCACTAAAAGGCACAAACAAGGAGTGCTTGAGGAGAAAGTCAGAGATTCCACAGCTCAGCAGGGAGAGTCCAGCCAGACACCAGCTCTGTGCATCCTTCCTTGCAGGAAGGAGCAATGCCAGTTATCCCCCAGTGCCAGAACAACTCTGCCTAGGAAATGAGTGAGGTAAAGGCTCTCTGAGGCTGCACTTTGTTCATCCCTGTGCCACGAAACTCGGGGAGTGCTGGTGACTGCCCTCCTGCCCTGCTCCTGCACAGCTGGGAAAGGATGCTGGGCTGGAGCAGCACTGCCTCCAGCTTCCATCTTTGGAGAGGGCTGGTGGAAAAGAAAGCATCTTGCAGAGCATAGAGAACTGCTAAGGCCTGGCCTTTGGTGAATACTAAGAAATGGGAGGAAGATTTTATTTGAAATAATAAAAAACATGCCAGGGCTGGAGAAATACTGAGACCTGAGGTGATGGGATGGACAGTAAGGTGTAAAACTCAAAATATTTTGCTAAAATTTAAATAGAAAGTATATTTTACCATTTAAAATGCTTGTACTTCTAAAAAAAAACTCACTTTACATGGCTTAAAAGATAAAAATGTTTTTCCATTATATAATGAAAACATAATTACATAATAAACATAATTATAAGTAGTGCTGTTGTTGTCTGCAACAAAAATACATTTAGAGACTTTTGCTACTAGCATGTTTCTATTTTTGCTTTCAATATTTTCATTATTTCTGTGAAAGCTTCTGATTGAACCTTCTTCTCTCAGAATTTTTTACACATGAATTATAGATCATTCTAATAAGCTTCTTAATTACAGCTAGAGAAGACTATTCAGAGCACTCCTGACTGTTAGAAATGAGCCCATGTGGGGAAAAGTAAGAGGTAATTAGCTTTACATGATAAACAGCTGCTGTCATTTTCCACTGACAAGAGGAAAGGGAAACAATTTCTACATCTCATAGCAAATGCAGACTTGGACTGGAAAGGACTGTTTGGCTCAGAGTCCATATGTTGAATTTATCTGAAATTTAACTAGTTTTACCACAGGTATTTGCTACGAAGATTTTGAAGGCATTGATATTCTAACTTTCTAAATTCTTGTAGCATTCCATTGCATCATCTGGATTAAGAGTATCCCTGTTATGTTAAATGAAGATGCTTTTTGTAAGAGGGCTGGGAATATGAAGAACAAGGGGCTGTTACTGCAGTGTGCTGTAACCCATGGAACAGTGTAATAAACTAGTAAACTAGAAAAATACTATAATAAACTAGTAAAATAATAAACCAGAAAAATAAATAGTAAAAATTAAAAAAAAAGTAAAATAGTATAAATTAATAATAAGCTTGAGGAATCTTCAGGTCAGCTCAGACCAAGAGCTCTTGCTGTGAATTTTTTTGTTGCAGATCCTGAAGTATCTCTGATGGCTGAATGCCTGCAGGCTCTGGAAGCAAACCCTGGAGTAAGGAAACCCTTACTGCAATCATCTGCCCAAACTGTGCCAGAAGGAGCCAGTGCTTGAGGACAGCTGCTGGAGCCCAGCTGGCATCCCAGGATGGGAGTTCTGCTCCGTGTGAGTAACAGGAGCAGGTTGGGTATGGGCCCTGCTCTGTGGCTGCAGATCCCTCCAGGAAACCTGCCAAATGCACTTTGGGGATCTCTACTAAATTTGCACGTATCTGGCTCCTGTTCAAGGTTAGCTAAGGAAAATGTGATTAAGTATTTGTTTTCCTAGCTCTTCTTTGATGTTTCACGTCTACATCCATGGGAGTGTAAGGGACAAAGTCCTTATAATTTCTCTGAGTCTATATATATATGTGGTTTGAAAGGTAGCAATGCTCTGTTCTGAAAACTTTTTATACCACATTAAAAAAAATAGGCACAGAACAGTTCATTATACTTATTGTCCCCTTTGCTCTAATTCCCTCATATCTAGCAATGGTTTTTTTACCATCATGTTTATTGTGTTAACTCTCTGATGGCTATTTCTGTTTAGTGCAACCTACTTTTTGTAGCATCTAAATATTGTTCCCTACTAATTCAGTATTTTGTTTCCTTAATTATTTATATGCAAAGCTGTCACAAAATGGAGCAGCTGTCTATGGACTTCACTGTGCCAGACACCACCACTTTACAGTGATCCCTGTCCAAGGCATAGAGAACCTTTGGGAGGAGTTTCTCTGCTACAGGCAAACGTTTGTCACCTTTCATTTGCAAGTATCAATGTAAGGAGCTCAGCAAATACATGAATACTTGTGTTCAAGGCTGTTTTCTCCTTTGATAATTTGTGCATGGCTTATGATTATGTATTTGCTGTACAGCTCAGGGATTCCCTGCTGGACTCTGCCCCAACCACTGGCCATGGGCCCACTGGCTCCAAACCAGTTCTCTGCATAGAAGGGTTTGCTCTTGGCTCCTTCACAGGGAAGAACTTGCTTTAAATTGCCTGAATCCACCAATAAAACTTGGATTCACCAGACAGCACCAGCACCTCTGGGCACTTTTTCCCTTATGGCAATTTTTCATTTTGATACTGATTGTGAAATCTGAATTTCCAGGAAAGATCATTCATCTTAAGTCAGGAATTAACAATAGTGTGTAAGCACTTTTCAGAAAACAGGCTTTGATTTTTTTTTTTTTTTTTTGGTGTTTGTACTTTGTTAAATTCACATAAAACAATGTATTAAGCTTCAAAGGAATTAGCAATAATAATATGATCTTTCCTCTTTGTAAGTTTTTATTTATAGTGGTGAATCTTGTTGAGGGGAAGAAAACTTTGAAATAGTCATTAGAAGTACCGGCTGAAAATTTAAAATTTAGGGGGCAGTGATAAAACTGAGTTTAATTTAAAAAGAATCTTGCATGTCATTTGCCTGAAATGAAGCTTGAACTCCATGAGGATTAATTGGAATTGTTAATTTAGGGAGTATGGTTTAAAAGACATTAAAGAGCTGTAGGGTGATTTGATAGATAATTGTGATTATAAACAGGGGCCTGTCACTGCTGCAGTCAGACTCACTTTGGAATGGATTTCATCTAGCTCAAAATGAATTTTGTATTTTCTTGGCACATAGATGTTCATTGTCAGATCATTAGAGTTTAGAACTTTAACTTCAATGGTGACTGCCAGGACAGGAACGTGCAAGATACACTATTGGAGTAATCTTTGTATCCTGCAGAGAGTGGAACAGGGTTCTGTGCCAATATTGATGGGATATTGATAAGTTTGTTTCAGTATCTTGTGCTATAAGATGATTTCCACTTTAAAAATTATATAGAAAGTGGAAGGATCACAGTTTAGTCTGAGGGGGTTAGGATGCTGGGTTTCATTTTGCTATTTAATTGCTTTTTGGGCATCTGTACTGCACTGGAAAATGCTACTTTAGCTATAATTTGTGCTTCTTTTCTACTGCTGCGTGTGAGTTACAATCAAGTGTTGTAAGGAGCAACTTTTGGATTTGAGGGATTGGATTTACTTCTTCTCTATAGTTACTTGTATAACAGTAGAGAGTAATTGTTAAATGGACCAGTTTTAACTCTGTACATACACAGGATCAACAAGGGGGCATATTGGTAAAGAACTGAAGGAACAGACACACCTTAGAGTCTGTAACAATTTCCGCTGCCTGACATTGGTCCTAGGAACTGGAGTTCAAAAAAACCTACCTGGAATTACAGGCTGCTGCTTAGAAGTCATGAAGAGAGGCAGGAGATGTTTTGGATGCATTTTTTTGGTGGATATTGGCACACTTTAAATAGGAGTAACAGGCAGACAGCAGTATTAACACCCAATATTTAAGATCCCCTGGTGTGGTTAAATATTCCTTGGGTTTTTTATTTGAGCTCAAGTTTGCTTATCTACCTCCACCGAAAGTGATGGGATAAAGAAGATAGATAGATACACTCAATTTAGTCTCTGCTGTTAGTTCCCGATGAAACAGACATTTTTGGCTTAATGTAAGTAAGTATTAATAACTTTTTATTAAAAGGTGGATTCAGAAGACAAGAAATAGGAATATGAAACTTTCAGGTAAATAATTTTATGTCCAGTCATCTCATATTACCTGTACAAACTTCCTCCAGAAATTCAGCACTCTAGTATTAAATACAAGTATTGAAAAACACTGAAAACCAGACTAGTTGTTAGTAACTCTATGTAATTACTTTCTCCCTGGGTTAATATTTAACTAGCACAGAGTTAAGACATCTGTGAAAGCCAGTTTAGATCAGCTTTGTTATATTACAGCACAAGAGAGATGAATAAATTGAGTAATATTTTATTGATCAGAAACAATACTTTTCTCAGCAATTAAAATGCATGATTCATTTGAACAAGGTGAAAATGAAACAACCAAAAAAATAACTTCACATTTTTTCCATTTTCTTCTTAGTGTAAGCAATAAATACAATGCCATAGCTTCTATTAATCTTATTTACATAGTACAATAAATGAATGTTGCCTGGTTGCCAGCCCAAATGTTTCTTGACATCAAAAGGAGTACATGTTGCAGCATTTCTACAGAAAAATACTCTTGTAGATCACCACCATGAAAAACTGAATAACATAAATGCCAACATTAAACAACCAACCGAGGGACCCTGCAATGCAGCCATTTATTAATTGTAGACAGTAGCATTAAAAATAGACATTTTCTCTCATTGAATCATAACATGCTGGTGTTACTGATAACAAATATAAGACAACTATTGCTGTAGCCCCTGTAGATTGATACAATAAATCCTCACTAAATTAAAAAAAAAGGAAACAGCAAATAATAACAGGTACTAAACAAATAATAATCTGCATGTTCAAAGGAATCTCACAGCCCCACCAAAAGAGAGTTTACCTCCATTCCAGAGAATATGGACTACAACATTCTGTAAAGTAGAAGAGAGCCATAAGAAACCGGCTTAAAAATTTGCTTTTAACTTATGGTGACAGAAAAACATTTTAAGAAGCAGATCCTTCTCTTAGCTATGTAGAAACTGAAAAAAAAGGTGAGGTAGGAAGACAAAATTGGTATTTTCCAATGTAAATTAGAAAACAGATTATCTAACCTCAGCAGGAGAGGGGAAAAACAGCTCTGCTATACCATGTGACCCTTCACAGCCAGAAAGATTTTGTTGCACATCCAGCTGGCTGTGTTTTTTATCCAAAGGGAAGATGGGAGTTGGGAGGGTGTGCCTAGAAGGAAGCTGTGATGTCCACCTAGAAGTAGGGTAATTTCTGTATAAAAACAGTTTTCCCTCCTAAATTAGAATTACACATTTCTCTAATAGAAATATATATTAAATGACAAAATCTGTAGTCTGTTAAATTTGAACTGCCTCTCTGAGAATGAAGCTTAGTTAAAGTCTAATACTGTAGCACACTCTAAATCAACATATATGTGTTAATTACAGCAACAATCCACCAGGTACCATGAAATAATTGTCTAATAATATGCCATAAATAGTTTACAGCATGTTTAAATGGACAGACACCTGTCTGGGCTTTGAGTCTCAGTGGTACCTGAAGACTGTGCAAAGGGAACTCAAGACAGATTTATACCAGCTGATGATCTGGTCCCACAAATGTAAAGCTGCTGCACTGGAGCAGGGATTCTCTGCACCACTGATATCTTCAGAACAAATGGCACAAATATTAAGGAACACTACAAAGACCAGCAAGCAGAGTTGTAAATAACCTCTAGTCATGTTTTAGCAGACATTGTTACTGCCACTCTTAAATTTTAAGAGACTGTGACAGCTGGTTGCCAGATCTCACACTGCTCTACACAATCCAACAGAGTCTTCAAATCATCCCCATCAATTGACCAGACAGCCCTGCAGAAAAGGAGAAATTTTCATTTGTGCATCCTAGCTGAAATTCTACATTGTGAAATGATATCATTAATAAAACACTTCCCATGTTTACTCTCCAGACATAAGAACTGTAAATAAAACCAAAAACTAAAGAAAGGTGCAAGTGGCAGGACCTTGCCATATCCTCCTAATGTTTTCTCTGTAAGTACAAAGCATTAAACACCTTATGAAGTCACAAAGTAATAAACACTGAAAATTACCTAGACACTATTGAAGCATAGAGAAAAGCTACTGACAAAAATGTTTATATGTCAAAGTCAAGGTGGTTTGTATACAATAATTTTGTATGCAAAATTATTTCAAGCTGGTCTGTCTTCCAATTTTTTGACTGGACTACATGCATCAGAAATATGTCCATTGGCAAAACAGTCTGTCACAGTTCCAGCATCTACTTTTTCTTCTGCCTAATTTTGGTTTTTCCCCACTTCAAGTAGACTTATCTGCAAATGAAATGTATAAAATTTTTTCTTACATTTTTAATTTTCAGTGAACTCACCTCGTTTCATGCTGTCATTCTTGAGCATTTTTGTCATTTCACTTAACAAAACTACTATTTCTTTAAAGCGTAAAGATTTAAGAAAAATGTAAGTTTCTATAAAGGCACATTTTCTCAAGACCTTCCTGACAACCTCTTGGTTTTCAGTGAGACCTTTATGCACCAGAAGAACCAAAGAAACAACATATAAAGTACTGTTCTAATTAACTGAGACAGAGATTCAGAATCAACCAATCCAAAATAATATTGAAATTCTCAATCCATAAAGTTTTGAACCTTTATAATACAAAACTTATACTGGATTTTCCAAATAATGAGAATTACTAACATCAGTTTGCTTGGTTAGTCTGGGTCTCTTATACTGGCTTTAAAGGTAGTGTATCATGTGCACTGTGTTCAGTCTTGCACACTCGCCTCAGACAACAAAAACAGCCACAAAATTAACCAAAACTTTGCCCCAAGAACGAAGGAATAAGTTACTAATCATATGGTCAGGGAAATACATAAAAGTAAAATCAGAACAATGCCACAAGGAATTCTGTACGTGATCTTCTCCAGCTGAGTAAATTCCTTAAGCACACAGTGAAGTTCCACCAGCTGCAGCTACTACAAGTGTCTGGAGAGACTTACAGTGACTCAGGTTACTCCTTTGCTCTCTGGCAGTGAGGCCTCATCAGTCTTGTCTTTGTTAAATCCAGAAGAAACTTCCATACAATTCAGGAGAAGGAGACACTTCTGAATATCCTGAAATAGCTTCAATAAAATTGCTCAAATCTTGGTGCAAGACAGTACATTGCAGTACAGAAGTACATGAAGGCTCACACTGGAAGTGGTGTCTCTGTGCTTGGTGTAAAACAGTGGGAAGAAAACAAACTGGCCAAACCAAAGCAAAACATCAGTCTCTTTAACCAAAACAGCAGTATCTATCTGTCTTTCTTTGAATTTGTTACCTCAGCTTACCTGTCACATTTTTTTGACACCCAAATGAATGCTGGACCAAAAAAAGAACCTGGAAAACTTCTTGTTATTATTGCACCTACTTAAACCATTTTGCTTTGCTCTATTTTAGGTTGAATTAAGACAACAGAGTATAGTATTTACACTCTAAGATTCTATAGGCAAACGAAGTGGTTTCAACACAGCACAGTCTTATACAAACTTCCAAGAAAATAAGAAATCCTTCATTGATTCCCTTTGTAGAAAAATTTGCCAACTTTGTCTACACAGTAGAAACTGAAGAGGCAAAGTTTGTATCCTTATATAATGCACATACATATATAGATATATATGCACAGATGTCCATACTGTATAGATACACAAACATAAGCGTATATGCACATGTGTATTTATACACACACACATATAAATGAGAAACGTGTTGGTTTAGTTTGCATCATCCAGGAGAACGACATATTCCAAGGTAGGTGAGATCTTCTGGCCATGAAGTCGCTGGATCAGCTGTGCACTGGGAGCAGCCCCTCAGCCGTAGAGCTTCTCAGTCTTGAGTGCCAGGCTGTCCATGTCGTGGTAGCCCTTGCCGTTGAGGTGCTCTCCGGCGCAGTCGTGGCCGTAGCCGTAGCCCTGCACGTCGCTGATGGTGGACACGGTGTAGGAGGCCGTGCGCACGGCGTCCGAGTGGCTGAAGCTGTGCTCAAACTGGATCTTGTACTGGTTCCAGTGCCTCCTCAGCACAGCCTGCACCTGTGCCCCCAGACAAAGCAAAATGCATGTAAACCACGGCTCAGGGGCTTCGGTTTTTGTCTCTTTGTTCTTTGTCACAGCAAATGGGGCAGCAAGGCTCAGAAATCCTGGGCAAGGATACCTACCTACCTGCCATTTAGCACTTGAGGCGTTCTGAATTGATCACCACTTAGGTAAGCATCATTTTTCAGCAAATTTGGTGTGAAGTAATGGTATTTTACAATGGTAGTGTACTAGCTGCTCAGACAAAGCACAGGTTACAGGAGGAACAGCAGCCACACAATTTTCTGCTTCCTGCCCTGTGAACTGCAGTCCAGTGTAGGACAGATGAGAAACAGAGGTGAAAAAGGTAATTTCTGTTCATCCTTATTTTCAAAAGGCCACATCCTCAGCATCTGTAAATTCATTTACTCTCAACAAACCATAATTTACATTTGCTATGATTTTGGCACAAGTCAGTCTTTCCCAATTTCTGGCCATACCTTAAGCAAAAGACTAGAAGGACAAATTCCTGAACTCCATATTTCTAGCAGAGTTAAAAATAAAGCTAATAAAATAGCTGAAGGCCCCATTGGTTTACATGTCTCCACTGAAAGGATGTGATGTTTGTCACGGCCTTCCTCCCCTCCAGTATGGTTCAACACCTGGGCAGAGTGGAGCGATGAAGTGTCACATTCATGAAATTCACACAGAATTAGTCTTTCAGGCCAGATGCCAAGTGGGGAATGCTAACAATGGTTTTAGCTCCTGTTGCTTTTTCAAACATATTTCTACTTAAAAAACCCCTGCCTACAGGTCATGAATATTTAATTTCCTTTTCAGCCAAACTTTGTACAGAAAGCAGTCCTAACTGCTAACCAGTGAACAGTGACTGCCCCAGTTAATTGTTTATATTGTGGGTAAATATTTTTAGGATTTTCCATATGTCTTCAGGGTTTATGTTTGCTTTCCATTTCCCTCACACAATAGCTCCTTTTGTCTAATTTTACTCTGGCTTTAATCATGAAAAATAAAAACAAATACAAGAAAAGGGATGTAGTTTTTAGACTTCCTGCAGTCTGGTATCAGAAACCTCTGTTGAAAGGAGAACTTCATCTTTCTCAAATCCTTCACAAGGAAATGTTAGAGTAAGGAAAGTAGTATCAACCAATTAACATAACAAATTAGCACTTTAAGGAGAAGGAAGTTCTTTCTTACTCTTCATAAAAACTTTCTAATCCACTCCAAACATCAAAACACAAATCTTCAAACACTGAGAAATCAATTATGTTAATACTTTTGAGTTTCAGATCTTCTTGCTTTTCATATCAAAATTGTGTACTTCTTCAGAGCCTAAAGGCAGAGTTCTTGTTTCAGCATGGGAAGTTTTTGATTAATTAGTATATGCATTGCATAGAACCTTAGAATAGAGCCAATACAGAACCTTAAGTCTTTGCACAATTTGAATCGATCTCCTGTAATCTATCCTAAAGCCAAGATGAGGATCATATTCAAAATTCCAGCTTTTCCAAGAGGGAAGCTTGGAATTTAGTTTGGACTCAATCAATCTGTGTTCATCACTAAGCTATGTTCTATTTGTTCTCCTTTCACAGTCAGTTACTTCAATAAGCTCAGAGTTTGAATGTAGACACACATGCAAAAAATTACACGTTGAGCAATTTTCACTTTAGACAAGACAGGCTGGAAGTGGGGAAAATGCCAGCAACTGGAACTAAATGGCTTAACAAGGTCAAAGGAGTCTCTTGGCAGAGCTGGGAGATTAACTAGGCTTGCCAAATTACACACTCCACTCCTCTCCCACACTTCTGATTCCTTCAGCAACAAATGTTCATCTTATTTTTGCTTGTTAATAGCATTTGTTAACCAATCCTAAAGGATTCCATAGCTCCTGAGAGCCACCAGCATCCCTGCAAGACAAGTGTCTTGGGGCTACTGCCAGGGGAAAGCAGACCAGCTGCTCCATGGCAGGGACAGAGAGCTAAAGGGTTTCCTGTACGGGCAAAGAGCATTTCCTCTCTGCCTGCCCCATGCCCATCACGCTCTCTCCATGCATTTCTGACTGAACCACTATTCCTGGCATTCTTCCCAAAGCCTCTCCAGTACTGCTGACTCAGGACTGCACCCCTGTCCTGCTGTGTGTCTCTTCTTGTAGGGTCTTATATCTTTCATCTGTTGTGTCTTTCAGTCTTCTCTAACCTTCCAATCATTTATAGAAAAATATGAGAAAAATCAATTACACTCTGTTTAACAATAAGTGTGTCTGCCCACAAAGTGAGACTAGAACTTTCACCACTTTCTCCTCAGCTTTGAGCAGTGTTATGGAGCTGTAAATTCAGCTCAGGAGGGGTAGAACTTTGTAACTTTGTTTCAAGAAAGGATGTTAAGGAAAGCATTGAATGAAAAATACTGTAATAATATAATTGTGTTTCTCAGTCATTAACAGAGATGCTGGAAGAATCTTTCTTTCTTTCTCACCTTATAACTTAATAATGGTTGGTTTTGATGAGTTTCCAGGAAGGACTCCTTCCAGTCAGCCCTATAACACTGCTAGCTCGATTTTGGATATCAGACAAATTAAACAGCTCAGCAGTCAACCAGGAGAAAAAAAAACACCAAACCAAACCACAACACAGCCTCATCTATCTCATCTATTGTACAACAGATGGTATAACCTTGCAAACCTGACACTATGCTCTTCATGGCAACATTTCTGTGGAGCAGTGAAATGAAGGAGGAAAAGCAGATGAACCCCACAAGGCTTACACAGATCATGTAGGTCATTATAGCACCTGCTATTAAAATTTCAACAGTAATCTTCTTACTTGTTTATCAGAGATCTGGGACAAGCTTCTCCTCTGACCACAGCCTGTACGACCCCAAAAGCCACTCCAGGCCATCTGAGGCTGGCAAACATGATGTGTTGAGAGCATCTTACTCTGTGGGCTGCTGGCCCACGAGCAGACTGGCTGTGAGTGTCCTTGGGGAAGCCCTGCCACAGAGGATCCAAGCTGAAGGCTTGCACATCCACCCTGTCTAGAGGAGCTCTGTGAGCAGCAGCTGCAGTGCCTGTAAGAACTGGATTTGACAGGCCAGCCCTGGCTGCTCTGCTCAGCAGACTGGAGATGTTCCTTGGCTACAGTCAACAGCACAGAGCAGCTGTTTTTCTTACATTTCTTAATTCATCTTCACTGAAGTGCTATCCTAGCAGATCACTTTTGTTCATTTTTGGCCAGAAGTGTTTTGCTTGAACAGGATTTGGCTCCTGATATTTGATGCAGAACACACTAAAATGTACAGTAATAGGCTAAGACTTAGAAATTAGTGCTTTTAGCATTTTTTAATTGCTAATACCCCTGGCCTGCAGCCCCACTTGCTGGGGCTGGAACCTTTTAGAAGACAAGGAAAGACATTTTGTCTGTGCTGGCATTTTTCCCTACCTACATGCTCCCCTTGCATTTCCTCACTGATACAGTTGTTTATAAAGCAGTGAGTCCTTTCTTGAGCAAGGTGTACTGAAAATAATTAAAATAAATACAAATAGTGATCACTGAACCCAAAAGTGGTTTAAAAGGATAAATTTCCACTCTCTAGAAAGCAAATACAGACATGTTAACTGTGTCAAGGTCTATGGTCTAAAAATTGAACTCCTTAATTAATAGATATTAAATACCTGTGTCCTCCTTTAAATATTATTCTACCAGTAGACATTCAAGCAGTGATTCACTTATTAGCATTTGTAGGAGTTGTGGAAGAGCTCATCTTTTACCACTGATGAGCCCATGGTGAATTTAGGGGATGACTTAGGTTTGATTTTTCTTACACAGCAGAAGAGGAGATGTTAAAAAAATATAATTTTGTAACAATGAAATATTAACAGATAACAGAAATAGATCTCAAAATCAATAATAATTTAAAATTAAAAGCAGCCTTGGAAGAGGCACAAGGATGAAGACAGAACTGAGCAGCAGACAGTATTGTTTCATAAGAACTGCAGAAATTTCAAGGTTTTCCACCCCTCCTCCTTAATTTTCCAGTGGAGCAGAACAAACTGATTTTTTTCAAAAGACCTTTTAGAAGGCATTCTGAACTATGCTATGGCATTGGGAAGGCATCCAGAGCTTTCTGCTCTGTAGAAGGGAAAAGAGTGTGTGAGATGTCAATACAGAGTGAGGGCAAGTGATCAGATCCAATCCAGAACACTTAATTATATTATTGTTTTGAAATAAATGTATGAGCAGGAACTTGAACCTGCATCTACTCTATGCTAAAATCAGATCAAGGCTCCTGCCCCAGCCTATCTTCATCTTTTCTGACTCCTTGGCAAAAAAAAAAAAAAAAAAAATCAATGAGACTCATGCATTTGGGTGGGGATACACACAACAAAGACACACAAATAAACCTTCAAAGCCCATGGTAGTTTCATTGCAATTCTGTCAGCTTTGTAGTTGGGAAGAGAAGGAAGGGCAATCTACACTAATCAATTCCAGCATTAGTGAAATATTTACCTTTGAGTAAAAATTACTGCCCAATAACACTACAGAAACACACTGGCACAATTTTAGATAAAAACCCCTAAGGGTTCAGTCTTAGGAAAACATCTGGTTACTCCCAAATTTCTGCTTACAGCCTACACTGTAACCACACTAAATGTAGAACAAATGAACAAACAGATGTGTAGGAATAAGTATAGCATTGTAATTGTTCCTCTGCCAGAAGTGTTGGCAAATTACCAGTTAGTTTTTTGGTGGGGGTAGTTTTGTTCATTTGTTTTGGGGTTGCTGGGATTTTTTTTTTGATTTTTTTTTTTTGCAAGCAAGAGCAACATTAACAATTTTAGATGTTTTTTTAGCCTTCCTACTACTTTGATCTCTTGACACTAAGCCTCTGGAAGTGTACTCTCTACAGCCTGGGGCAAGAGTTTCTACATGAAAGTCACCCGGTGCACTCCAGGGACCTTGACCTAGCCAAGATAACAGCAAAGCTTGTTAATTCAACAGATCAATACCATCTATTGCTGAAACCTGGCACAATCCTCTAATGTCAGGGTAAGGTCTGTCCTTGGAACTGGCTGATCATGGTGCTTTAAACATGCACTTGTGACCCACACAAATTCCTGCTACAAGTGCACCAAGCTGTTAAGGTCTGACTGTTGGAATGCTGCTTTTCATTTGTGCTAAAAAAACACTTTTGCAAACCTCAGCCTAAAATTTTCCCAGAGAGCTTCATAAAACAATCCCAGACTCATAGAAGGGGTTTGCTTGGAAGAGACCTTCGTGACCATCTAATTCCAGCCCCCTACTGTGGGGTACAGCCATACCCCAGCCCAGCAATACCTGCTCCCACTACAAAAGGACCAAGAAGTGAGTCTCCAGGAGAACATCTTGCACAGCTTCCAACACACTGCTTTTCAGCGTTATAATATTTATCTGGACTTTATAACAAAGTGGCAACTCTCTTCAATTTCTTAATCAAGACAAATGTGTATAGCTCAGCACCCAAGAATCAGTCCTAACACACTTAATGGTGCCATGAATGATCCCACAGTCCTTTCCAAGCTCTGCTTTTGGCATCCTGATACTTTGTTTTCTTCTTTTAACTTATACAAATTTATACATAAAATTAAAAACAAAAATAAAAAATTACCTCACCCTCCTTAATGGCTGAAACAAAAGCATATAAGAAAGAAAAATTATTATAGATATAGTAAAAGCTGTTACTCTACCTCGCCATTGAAGAAGCAGAAAATTGTAGCCACCAGTAGACCCTGTAAAATGAAAACAAAGATTCTACTTTAATTCATATGCGCTATTTCAGGTGTGAGATAATTAAAGGTTTCTGATAAAATTCAGATATAGATAGCACAGAAAATGCAGGACAAATCTAAACATGATGAACTATTTCTAAAAACAGATCACTAAAAACATGGAGCCAGCTTTCTGCCACAATGTTTCGTTCTCTGAAAACTGGAAGGCAAGTAAATGAAAATCCAGCACACTGAGAAATCAAAGACTACTGGATGAAGATCTCTAAAAAAATGCAGTAACACAGAGACTATTTCTCTTTTATTTGATTGCCATGGCAAGTGCTCTGAGCTCAGGTGAGGCAGGGCTGCGTGCTGCTTCCCACCTGGTAGTGCATGAGGATGTGCATCACGTAGTCGTACACCTCCTCTGCGATCCGGCCCTCGGGTCGCCATGGGAACAGCACGAACTCGATGCCAAGGAGAGGGACAAGAATCAGGGTGGCTCTCACTGCTTTCATGTACAGGTTGGACTCAGCCTTGTGGGTGTCTTTCAGCTTGGTTATGAGAACACGAACGATGTTCAGCAGGAAGAAAAGGTTCACCTGTTGGAAAAGGAAATGACACTGAGAAAGAGGTCTGGAAAATAATCCCACACACTGATTTGTGGAACTGGAAACCAGACAACACAAACTCACACTGCTTTCATAATCACCCTGTGATTATACAAGAGATATCAGATAAACATCTTTGAAAACACCTTAAAGTAACTGAGATGTGGCTCTGACTTCCACTATGCACACCCATTCCTAACACTCTCTAAGCAAAGTACCTGCCAGTGGTAACAACCCACACTTTCTCTTGCTGCCAGTAACAGTGCATGGGTGAAAGATCGGTTCTTTTCATGCTGGTCAAGAGAGAGGATGATGCTTTTCCCTCCTTGCATTTAAATATGTTTCTTCAAAAAGCTACTTCTTGTTTTCCAAATGTGAATTCGGTAGACTTATAGAGAAGGTAAAATCAGAGTAATAATAAGAAAATCACCAAAATGCTGGTACAAGGAACTGTGTATGCCTCTAGAAAAACAGTGGATTTGGCTTTCTTACAGTAGCCAATGGTTGGATCTTTTATTCTTTCAGCAGAGCTGCCAGTGGGGCAAGCACTGAGATGATGCTTTATGTCATTCCCTTGCACTACTGAATTTGCTTATTTCCGTAGTTACTAAGGCTTTTTCTGGTTAGAAATGGTCTATCTCTGTTCCTTCAGTTTGACCAGAAAAAAAATCCTAAACTGTCATTGTGAGCAAGCACAAAACTGATACACACACAGAGATATGTGTATGGATGCACCCACACAGATATTGTGTGGATACATTCACACCCCCCCAGGGATTTGGAACCAGAGCCACAGCAGCCCTAGGGATGATCCCAGCCCATCCTCACCTCCTGTGCAGCCCCTGGTGGAAGCTGCAGCCAGTCCCTGTTCTTATCCCAGGCACAGACAGGACAGAGATGCTCTGGAGAGCCTCTGTGGAAGGGACAGAGGCTCTGCTCCTATCTCTGCCCCCACAGGATTGTCTGCCCTTGCCAACAGCTAGAGAAAAAAGGGGGGTAGGGGAGAAAGCTGGCAGATAGACAGACAGACAGACAACTCCCTTCCAACACCTCAGAATTCCTGGTCTAGGAAGAGGCTCTGTCTTTCTGTAGCTCAAGTGCGAGCAGAGGAGGCATTTCAGACCATGGCTGTCACGCTCCACAGCCCTGGCAGAATTCTTTTTGTCAGTTCAGGCTTTCAGAATAAATAGCTGTGCTATTATAGCAACATGGCCCTTTACAGATATGGGATGTTATTTATATTCTACTTACATGCTATTTAAATAACTCCAACAGGAAGCTGTTTTACATAGGAAACTACTGCATGGAGTTCTCCTGGAAGCCTCCAGCTACCTTTAAGCTTTGTTTAAACAGCCAAGGTCTTCTGATTCTTTCTCGAGGGATTTATTTAGATTTTATGTAGCCCACGATCCCTATCCAACTTCCTATGGTACGTGCAGACAATGAGTCCTTCCTCCATTTCTAAATTTAATCTTTCTCAAATCTACTTGTTCAACATTAACACGTCTCAAACCCTGAGTTTTCTGTCCTCTCGCGTTTTGGTAGCGTGGCCAATTCCTGTAACACTGTCCTTAAGTGCTAACTGAAGATGAAAGTTGCAGCAGCCAGGCATAAATAGCAGCATCCAATGAGCTGTTTATTTTACAATATGCACAGAGTTTTTCTATTTGTTTCCCACCAAAACCAAAGTGCACAAAATTCAGCATGCAAAGAGTTTGTAAACAGCAAAAAGGGCAAACAGAAAGCTGGAGGAGGCAAAGCAGAGGACAGAGCTGAGTAGAACAGGAGGAGTGTCAGTACAAGTATGTAGCACCAATTTTTGATGAATATCTCCTCTGTCAGAAAATAAGAGTGAGATTGGGAGGGACTGAACTTTTAATTAAAGTGATGAAAGCAGGTCCTGGTTTTAAGTAAGGTGCTGAGTAGATTTTTACATTTAAGCAAAAGTAGGGCAGTGGAACTCCTTGCATGCACATTATCATCAAATTGACTGTGATGGTTTGGAAAAGCCCAAAGGAGCTCTGTTGTGTTATCTGCACAATGAACACAGAGTGAAACAGCAACAGCCCCACAGTGACCTGAAAACTGAACAGGGCAACTGAGCAAAAATAGAAACAAAGGCAGAGAAGGCAATCCTAGACACACACACACACACAAAAAGTGTTGGTGCCTATACTGGAAACTCAGGAGCATTTAGGTTTTGGCTTGACAGAGGCAATGAACTGAAGCCAAGTTCCTGAGTCAATAGGGGCTGCAGTTTTTGAATTAAACTCTCCTCATGTTCCTCATATTTCTACTTTTCTCCATGCTGAGTTTGCACTAAGTAATTATAGTAATCCTTTTAGTTTAAATTGTGTTTCAATTCTTCCTTAGGATGATATAAACAGGCCCTTCTCACTCGAGGCACTCAGATATTTTTAGATATGGGTTGGTAGCCACTGTCTGGCTTTTAGTACAGTTATTCAGGTCCATATCTTTGCCTTCATGGACAAAACTGAGCTTTCAACTTCTAAACTAAGCCTAGCACTGAGTTCAGCTTAAAGTCATTAAACACAAGGACATGAAAGACAAAGTGGGAAGCACCTGAACTTCCTTCTAGCACACCTTCACTCAGAACCTGCATCTCTAGTGGTCTGTCAGACTGCAACACCAATACATAACATTATTGCAGGGAGAAAGGAACATCCCTGGGACAATATTTGTATAAAAAATGGCATAGCTAAATAATCCAGAGGCACCCAAACAAAACCACAAGAGCACTGAAGTCTACAAGGAAATCACTACTGCTTTCATTCAAGTGCAAACCAATTCCTTTTCCCTCACCCCTCAATTTTGATCAATATTTGTCTAGCATGCAAACTAACATCACCCTCTACTGTCTCATTCCCACTCTGTTTCTTTAATTGTGAATGCTTGGGCAGACAGTTGTAATTTAATGGTCAGTTGAAGACAATTCCAATCAAAGTGCAACCTGTGTCTGCTCCTGTTTCTTTGGCAGAAGAACTGACCACAGTTACGTAACAACAGGGACCATAAAAGCAGCGTTGTTTTTAACTTTATGTAATTGTAGGATTCTCAGTGGTGTACAAGAGTTAAATTCCCATTGGTTTCTGCCAATTCTCCCTGGCATCCACTTGACAGTCCCCTTCACGTTCTTTGAGATCTGCTCCTGCAAATAGAAACAGTGTCTTCCCCCTCGTTATCTAATTTGCAGTTTAATGTTGTTGCTTAAATGTCTACTAAAGCAGGTCATGCTTAGTAAAGTGTGGAAATTGTATCTGGCAAGCAAGCTGCTTAGGCAAATGAGGGTTCTGTTCACAAAGCCTAAACACATGCATTTAATCTAACATCTTTAGTCTTGCCTTGTCTTTTCTGAATTGAAACAAAAAAAAATCTTTTTTTTTATTTTTTTGCTTCCAGAAAGGAAAGCAACTCCTTTAAAGTACTTTCACATCACAGGCAAGATGTACAATTTAATCTGTTATTCCTGCATGATTCTCAAATAAATTTACTCGTTGTACTGAGGCAAGAAAAATACAAGAGAAACACTTTTAGCTGGGTCATAAAACATATAGAAATATCAGGTGATCAAAGTTGTAAATTGCAAAGAGGATGGACAAAGACACTGCCCAGACCAACCCCACAGAGATGATTATTATGCCTTCAGTAAAATCAAAGAACATTCTGAATGTGGCCTTGAATAGAAACAAGACTTGGTCATTTGGGATGGATCCAGAGCATTTGAATCCCACAGGAGTCTGGCCACTTGCAGTGTGATTTTGTGGAGGCCACTGCTTAGAAGGCTGAAAAAATGACCTTGCATCCTAAAATGAGATCACTTCATGGAAGACAGTACAGTCTTATAGCTTTTACACAAATTTTTACATTGCTATTTAGAGCAAATTCTAATACAAATTGTCGTTGAAAGAGTTTTACTTAAGTGCTATATCTCTGAAGAGACGCCAGAAGAATGGAAGTAACAACCCATGAAGAACCCTATACTTTTCTCTGAAAACAGTGTTTCATCTTCTGTGTAAAGCAGAGACAATAAAAACTGAAAGAATTTAGAACTGGGTTTAAACTTACAGATTAGAGCACAGCAGATCCTTATATGAACAGATAGAGCAGACCTGTCTGACAGGATAAGAATTACCAGCAATAATTCACACCCCAAGGGTCACAGCCCTCCATAACTTCATGGGCATTGCTCTGGCTGCTCACACACAGGTGCTCAGGTGTGTCATGGTATCATCACAGTCTTCAAAATTTAAGTTCACTAGTTAATTTCACTGTGAATGAAAAAGGGAGTCACAAGAATCCCAGGATTTATGCAATGGTCTTCTGAGAGAATTCTCTATTCACTGAATGCTCTCCACAGGCATTCATCAACAAGCTAACAGAAGGGCAAAGTGTAGATCAGAAACTGAAATTATTTCCATAAAGTTAGGAAGGAATTTCCATAAAGGTTTTTACTCCTAATGAACTTCCTTTTGTGAACTGAAAAGTGGGGAGGAAAGCCAGCAGCCGTGGACTCAGAGGTTTGGCCAGATCAGCCTGAGGTTTCTGCTACAATAAAACAAATTACTGTCATACACAGTCAGGGGCTAATCATATATGGAATGCTTCTATGCTAATTTTGTTAATTATGGCAATAGTTAAGTGCACATCTATTTCTATTTAGCAATAATCTACTGCCTGAATTCCACAGGGTAAATCCAGTCCTAGTGCAACTGACATACAAGATTGATTTTTGTATGCAGAAATGTCCTCAGTTACTCACCCAGAATTTCATTTAGTAGTGAACAGTGAATAGAGCTGGCATTGACTTGGGGTGTCAGACAGAACACCGTGCTCTAAGATTTCATGAGCACTCCAGAAACAGAGGAGCTGCAATACCCCAGTGGCCACAACAGGGGCAGTCACAGGTACTGGCAGAACCACTTGCACTGGTTTTCTCACAATCACCTGCTGTGATTTCTCTCCATCCCATATTCCCACCCACAGTCAGTCCTGGATGCAAAGCCCCTCTCCCTGAACCTCAGTCAGTCTGTGGCTGCTTGGCCACAGCACAGTGACACAGTGAGGCTCCTAGCAGGGTCCACCTGGCAATTAGTCTGGCCATCAGAGGCATTCTCAGCTAAAGGAAGGATTTTAAATTCCCCTCCAGTACTCCAGGTAAGGTTTAGTCCTTCCTTGTTGCTAGCATTTAAGTGGAATGAAAACCAACATTGCAAACCCTGAGTTTCTCAAAGGAACACAGGCACAGATCCTTAATAAGGACAAGACTTCTTGTATCTTGTGTGTCTGAGGCACCTGCTGGGTCAAGCAGCAGACTCACAAGTGATATTGACCTCTACATGTTAGCTTAAGGCTCTTACCTTTGTAAGCTCATCGAGAGCAGCCAGAAAAAAAAGGAGAAAACAAAAATATTATTTAAAAAATGCTTACCAAGAGAGCAGCACAAATAGGGCCATGGATGATATAAAGCAGATGAGTATCAGAGCTGATCCAACAACTACAGAAAACAAACATGAAAAGAAAAAAAAAGGCATTTATTAGCTTTGGTGGTTTGTTTTTTTTTTTGGTTTTTTTTTTTTTTCCCCAAAAAAAAAAAAAAAAAAAGAAGTTTTGCAAAAGAAGCAGAAGCTACTTACTTGTCATTATAGTATAAGCTTCTTGCAACAGCATGTATGCAGGCAGGGATCAGTGGAAAACCTGTGGAGAAAAAAACCCAGTATTTTCTTCATTATTTTTTTCTTTGTTATTTTCTTCATTAGTAAAACCTGGTTAATAACTAAGTAAACTTGCATATTTTGCAGGAAATCTTCTATATTTTCACCTCAAACTATATACCTGCAGAGAAAATAAACTAACACGGACCAATTTAAACTTTCTTTTCTTAGACTTCTTTCTGAGGGCTGAAACCTTATTCCCACTGACTTGATAAGAAATCCACAGCAACACACAGAAAAGGCAAATCAGCTTTTTAGAATATAACAAGTCCCTTCATTAACAGATCTTTTCAGGCTGCAATCTGCAGTAACAGCAAATAGGAAGGCAATATTAAAATGGTTGGTTGCATGCATGAGCACAGCTTTAACAGTATGGCCAGTGGAGAGCATGTTCTCACTGGTACGAGGACAGTGTCAACACCTTGCTGTGTTGAGAAAACAATTTTGAAATTAGACTCAGAAAATTAAGCCAAATGAAAAAAATTAAAATAATAAGCAAATTAGTCATGTGGGGCCCTTGACACCCTGGTGGTGCCTGATCTTCAGGAGCTGCTCAGTGCCTGTGACCTTCCAGCTGTGCCTGCAGTGGGACAGTGACCCAGGTACCCAGCCACCTTGGAGCTGAGTGTGCCAGTGCAGGGAGGCACAGAGCCTGCACTTTCACTCTGTGAACAAGCCCTTAGGCATTATCTGAAGTGAGCAGGCTTAGCTTGTTGGTTTTGGTACTGACACTACTTGAGATCTTCAGTTACAGCTATTCTGTGTCTGCTTAGTGAACAATACAGGTCAAATGGAAGTGCTGGAAAAATAAATCCTCGGCCATCTCTAACTCAGTTCTGACCCTCCACCCTCAGCACGGCGAGACTTCTCTGAAAACAAACATTCATTCCTGAATAAACATCTTCGAGGTGAGGAACAATGAATAATTACTTCTTAAGGTCTTTTTTATAATAGGAGACTATTTTCTCTATACAAAGGAGGAGTCACTTCCTGACTCCAGAAATGCATAATCTCTCTCTCAGCAGAGGTACACACAGCTTCCTACATTAATATTTCTAAGCTTGTTAAAACACTACAGACAAAGAATTGGGGTGTGCCATGGTCACTCAACGCTACAGCTCAGAGAGGCAAAGGTAGGAGTGCTTGGAGGAGCATTGACCTGAAAATGCACAAGGTGAAATCACATACCCCAGCCAAGAAGGTAATACCACATCAAGTGCTGCTTCTCAGCAAAAACAGCCACCACAATCAGTGTGTGCAGGTAAATGCCTTCACACAGCATCCAAAAGTAGTTGCAACCCATCAGGTACAGGTAGATGAACTGTGACACTTTGCAACTAACCTACAGGGGAAGAAAAAGCAGAGTATAACATAAATTTTAAATTTCCAGAAATCTCAGAGCTTTATTTGCAAAGTGGAAAAAATACCACTCCAAATAATGTTTATTCTGTTTTACACTGCAATTGCATATTTACTTACTTTTAAAAATAGAATTTTCATGACATTGTGATCCGCTACTTTATGGTGACATAAAACTAATAACTGAGTCTGGATTTTTATTATTCAAACACGAGGACCCTGAGATCCTCCACCGTGGTGGAATGCTATTATGATATTTTGCCTTATTGCAAACCTTACCACACTTAACCATTCCAAATCCTTAAATTCTCTGATAGCAATCCCCTCTCAGTTTTCACCCATCACAACATATAACTACCCCAGAGAACAATTAATGTTTTTTAAATGCTTACAGTATTTCCAGTTTTAACTTACTCATAACTGCACATAGGGATTGAGAGCTTGGTAGGTTCTGGAGGAGCCTGGCATTTATTTGTATTTAGCTTCATTCAAAATATATTCTACAGTTCAAATGCTATAAAATAATTTATTGGAAAGTCTAAAATGTGAGGTTGTGAACAAGGAGCAACAGCTAACTTGCAGATTTGGTCACATTAAATCCTTTTTTTCCCCCTCCTTCCAATATTGCTGGCTGTTTGATTGTTCTATTTCTGCCACTTGGCTTAAAACAAACCAAAACCCGATACTGTTTTACCATTTTCTGCTACCTAACTCACTTGATGATGATTATTAGCAGCTATCTCAGGTATGTTTTCCAGCACACTGACGACTGCTTCTACAGGAGAAAAGGAAATTATCTTTTTACTCGATTCAGTTTCTGGAGTTTTTACCCTAACTTCCACAGAATTAAGATTTCTCTTCCATGTCTAAATAACAATAAAGCCAGAGCTAGGGATTTTTTTGTTTATGTATTTTATCTTTAGAATATTGTGTTGCAAAAGTAAATTATTCTTATTTTAATTGAAGATGGCCGAGTTAAAGCCATAAGAAACTAGAAGACAGATCCAAAATACCTTGCTAAACCTTTTTTCCTGCCCTTCCGTGGTGAATTCATTTATCAGCCTCCCTGACACCATCTAGAATAGGCTTTCCTGCAGTTGTTTCAGGGCAAAAGCCATTCTGTGGAGCTGGGATGAGGCATTCAGTGAGCTCAGTCCCACTTTCACTGTTTCACAGGCTGGATAGTGCAGTGTGCCAGGCACTGTGAGACATCTGCTGTCACAGGGACACGGCGTCAGGAATGCTGCACACAGCATTTCAGCAGCTCTGCACTCGCACCTCTGCTGAGCCATTCACCTACAAACAAACAGACTCGGCCAAACACACTTTCACTTACTGGGTTAGTTGCAACTAATTCCTGGTTGTTGGCAACGGCCGTCAGCGAAATTATTGTTACAACAGAGTTGCAAACAAAAGAGAAAAACAGATTTTTATGCAGGGTAATCCTTTGGCAACTCAAGCTCCTGGAAAAGAGAAACGAGAACAAATGAGTACATGGGAGGACAGCTATGTGTACTTGGGGACAGCTCTGACATTTGGAAATGTTAGAGCTCTTGATTTTACTAACAAGTCCCACATCAACCCTTTCTTCAGGTCCAGAGCAAATTTAATACACTAAAAGGAAGAAAGCAAGTGCATTTATAGCCAATATGCTTACAGTTATGCTTACAGTGAAAATTATTTAAATACTGACGATAATTTTCTCAGTTAGAATTTCCCAATTAGCTATCACAGCTGTGCTTGATGAAGCTGTCTTACCCTGTTTCCATTTACCCAGATCTGTTCAGATCTTTTGAGGCTAATTCCTGTTACTCATACTCTCGTCATTTTTCTTCCTTCAGCCCAAAGCTAGAGAAATATCTAAATAAGCAAAGTAATGCAAATCTCCCCCTGATTGTTGTGTATAACTAAGTTATAAACAATTTATAGGATGTAATTATAAAATCCCTAGAGAACTGTATTTAGTTGTGCTAATTTCTAAAGTTTGCTTTTAATCTTGCAATAAAATTAAAGAGAGAAAATCTTTGGAAGGGCTTAAAAAACAAAACAAACCAGAAATTCATCTGTATCAAAGAATGTTAAACTTAGGTGCAGCAACTTTCTGTTTTTCTGTCATTCTAGAGGAAGCAGGAACAACTCAGTGTAATCAAAGAGGAGGGACTGCTTCTCATTCAAGTTTTTCAGTGAACTCCTGGGTTGCTTCAGAGACAGCACGGAGTGAAGCCTCTGCTGCAGACTGCCCACCCCTGCCCGTCTCCAGTTAATGGCCAGAGAGATGGAGTGCAGCTGACTGACCCTTGGGAATTACCAACTGGGGGAGAAAATCCACCACTTACACACATGCCACTGAGAGAAATTAGAAACACATTCAAAAGGGCAGCAGGGGACTTGTCTAAACTGTCACCCAAGGAGGGGGGGAAAAAAGAAAAATCAAGTTTTCTGGCCTCTTCAAATAGCATGCCTGGAAGAAAAGACAAAGGAGGGACATCGGTGATTCGTTTTTAATTTGAGAGGATAGAAGGGAGACCTTTACATTTTTTCAGAGAAATGCAGATAGGGAATCTTCAGAAAGGCTGGAGGAGTGTATTGAAAACTGCTGCCAGATGAAACAACAATCAAGGTGACCCAAAGGAAAAAGACCCCAAAAGCCTGGCCACAGGGCAGAGCTTGGCTGCATCCTTTGCAGCTCTCACAAGGGCAGTGTACAAATCACCCACAGATGCCTGCACTGAGCTCACAGTGCTCACTGTGCAAGCCCTGAGACAGTCCAAACCCATGGCACTAAAAACAGGGGGAGGAAAAGGAAACCCCTCTAAAAACCGGCACTGGCATTTAACAGGGACCTACAGGAAACTTTGGTTGCCACGTGTCATTTGGCTGAAGAAAACACAAAAGAAAAAGTTTCCAAAATATGGAAAACAGGGTTGCATATGAATTTGAGGAAAAATATATTGCATTAGGCTCTTTAAGATTTTATTTGAGTCTTGTTTTAATGCCCCAAAAGGATAAAATTTAATTATTGTAACATGCAGGGTCTTACATTCTTTGAAAATGTATTTTTCTATGGTTTTTTTTTTTTTTTTCCCCTGTATGTTTTATATATGAAAAGAGAGACAATGCTAGATTCCAGCGAAGGGCTTTGTGTAAACAAGTCCTGAAAAGCTCTGGAATTCTGTCTGCTTATTGTTAAGACTCAAGGCTCAGGCGAGGAAGAGCACGTACAGCTAATGGGGCCATCTCTCCGGGTCATCCCGCAGCTGTTCCTGTTGAATATTCAAACACACCCATCCACACCCACCTCCACCCATGCATGAAAGGACTGAAAGGATCACCGGACAAGAAACAGAAAGACTGATGACATTTAAAAACCAAGACTGTTTTTGGTAATAAAAAGATTGTTCCTAAGCTCCCCCACCCTCTCTCTTCTGTTATCCTTCCTATAGTCCTTTTTTCTGTTTTTCTTAATGACATAATATCCTTTAATCACTTAATTCTCATGTTTATGATCTAAGTACATTTGAATGACCAACCCCTCAATTAAACCTCAAATAAAAAGAGACTTCCTAGTATATTATCTATTTCCCTTCTTTTTTTGACTCCTGTATATCTTGGTTATTAGGGAACAATTAATTTCTCCAAAAGAAAAAAATGGTGACATTTTCAAAAGCCTGTAAGTGGGTTTGAGATCTAAGTTTTTAAGGTATTTCAATACTGCAAAACTCAACACTGAGAGCCAGTAAGCACCTAAGGGGAATTATCTGTTCAGATGACATTAACTGAGTGATTTGGGTAGCTCTGTCTCCATAACACCAAATAATCAGTGCTTTGCCCACTCTCTCTTTAACACACTGCTGCTCTCCCCTGTGGATGCTGTCATGGCATTTGATGTGACACTTGATCAACAACTCCTCCGTTTCACGTGGGTTTGTTTGTTGGTTTGGTTTTTTTTTGGGCTGCTTTGATTTTTGTGGGGAGTGGGGGGGCACCTTTGAAACTGCAGCTCCCCTTTATCCTAAATCACTGCTTTTAAAAGTATTCTCTTGCCTCATTTTTCATTCTTTATGAAAACCATACAATTATTTTAACATTTGCAACACGTGCATGATCCCGAGTATGTAACAATGAGAAAGCAGAGACACTGCAAGAAGCTACTTTTGTGTCTCAAAGATGAGTTTTCAGAGATGTTCAGAGTTCCAAGTTTATGATCAATTTCTGTTAAACCAAGAACTCCAGTGCACTTGGGGACAACAAGTCACAAGCTGGACAAGTATTTCTAAGGAGAAAATTTCAGAAGAAAAAACAAAATTCAAAATGTAAACTGTAGAAATTCAAAATGTAAAATGCAGAAAAATTTTAGTCCTAAAAAATAATTCAACTCCCAAATAGTTGATATTTCCTTTGGGAAAAAGTTGCAAATTTCTAGTCAAATCTAAAGATATCCTAATGATCAGAAATCCAGCAAATGTTGTCTGGAAACTTGTCAGTTGACTTACAGATTAAATGTTTTGGAAATGACAAATTCAAAGACACCCCCCCACAATAGGAAAAAGAAAAGTCCACCTGTTAAAGCTATGAATAATTATCCAAGCCTTAGCTGATACATAATACATCCTGGTATTAATCTAGGGCCTTAAATACCCTTCTACTACTAAAAATACTTTAGAGGAACTGTACATCCCAAGAGAACAGCTTGCAGAGGACTTTCTTTAGCTTCCTTTGAATTTTGTAATTTCCTTTTATATCCCAACATAACCACAGTTAGAAAATGTGGTTTGTGGTTCTGGATTCATTCCATGCGGTCTCTGAGGAAGGATGATCCTGCTCCCAGAGAAGGAAATCCCTGGATGGTTAGACAAAGATGACACAGGATGGCAGCACAGCAGATCACCTGATATTGCAGGAAGTGCCACAAGCAAAGATGAAATTACTTTGGTTTTCATATTATGGTATAGAAAAGTCATGCTTAACTCTCTGTGGACTTATAAAATCATATCCTACTCCAAATCCTTTTCTCTTCCCCTGTGTTAAAGCATTTTTCCTGTCCCATGAGATATTTAGTTTGCTAAAATTTGTGACATTTATTGCAACAGTACTGACCATGTTTATGCAAAATCAAAGTTCTTATAAGGACTCAGAGCCATTTCACACATTGAGTTTGTGGAAGCAAAGTGAATTTGGAAAGGAGAAGCATTGTTTTTACAGATCATACAAAAATAAATGGATTGAAAAACAGTTATAGGTGTTTTCCTCATGAAACGAGATCAGAAAAAACTGAAATGTCATCTTGAATACTGGATTTTCAAAGGAAAGGCTACAAAGCTGAAACACTCCTGTTTGCTGGGGATTTGCAGGAATGCTGTGACAGCCTGGGGAAGTAATGCACAGCTAAAGGGGAAGCACTGCTTTCAGACAGACTAAAAAGAACTTTTTATTTTAATCAGCTATCAGCTGCCTCCACCTAATCAAAGCCCACAGCATGAGAGGAGCAGCATCCACTGGCAGTGTACCTGCTATTGGTATTTAAATGTCAGGAGGAAATGGAGGCTGGAGCGAGGCAGCAGGGTGCAGGGGCAGGAGAGTGTGAGCAGCAGATGTGCAGTGCCAAGGAGAAGGTGTTTATGAAATGATTAAAGCAGGCTGACAAGGGCAGCCTGCTCTGGGCGCAGCAGCAGCTGGCACAGGGAACAACTTGTCTTTCTCAGCTCTGCCCATGTGGCAACACTCCTGGGTTCACCTTTCCACCAGGCCTCAGCAGCTTCTTAAAGGAAAAAGGAAAGAAAAGGAGTCTTTCATAGGGAAGCAAAGAAAGTTCACCAAATATGAAGTAATAAGACTAATTTAAAAGGCCTGTGTATTATATTATGAGCTGTTGGGACAATGGTGACACACTGCTCTAACTTCCTTTCAAGAAGGTGACATAATTGTTAGTCAGCAGATGACAAGCCTGTCATACACAATACAGTGAATCAAAAAATGGGATTATTCTTATTATTTCCATTTCTACTGTAGCTCTTAGCCTTACTTCCCTTGCAGTTGTCATATTTTGTGAGCACCACTTGGGAATGTTACTGTACCTATCCAATGTCATCACTATTTTGGTTTCCACTTGCTCTTTAGGTCAGTTGATGCTTGGCATAACACAGAATCATAGAACATCCGGACTTGGAAGAGACCCACAAGGATCACTGAGACCAATTCCCAGTATCACGCTGTAATTTATCACCACAAAAATCCAGATATCACAAACCCAAAATGAACAAACATTTTATCATTTCCTATTTTCAATATATTCTACAGCTTTTGGGTAGCAGGTTTTTGATTTTAGATTTCTGAGAAAAGAAACCTCCATTTTTGTTACAAAATAAAGTCCAGTGGCAAATCTCTATGTTGGCTTTCTTCACCTTCCTGCTCCATCTAAATGAATTTTGGATGGCTGGTGTTCTAAAGCACTGAAACCAGGATTGTGGCAACCACTGGGATTTGATAAAGGATTTTAAATATACTTACTTAAAATAAAAGAATATGCCAAGAGAGATCAGAAGTGATGCAATTGAAAGTCCATGTCCGATGATGGCCAAGTAATACAAGTTCAGAGCAGTCTGCAACACAAAAGCAAAGCCAAGTGATTCAGACAGAGCTACTGCTGATAAAGCACATATTTATACCTCTCTTCTTGCAGTTAAAGTGATTACAGTACTAATAACGAAAAAAAAAACCCCAAACATTTCAGGTAATGATGGAACAAGTCATTTCTCAGCATTTAAAGATACTTCCTTCAAAGTGAGCTATGATTATGGTACTGGAAATTCAGTTTTTATTGAGCATTTCAGGAAGGACATGAAAAAAATTGACAATGACTCAAAAATAGTGAAGACTATTATGTTAAATAGTCATAATTATGTTTCAATATTATGTTATGTTAAATAAGCCTACTACCAATTATGGAATTATGAAAATATGTGTAGATACAAAAGGTAACAAAAAGGAACTGGTAATTTAATATTTGGAATATGGTCATGTTATCATTAATTCTTGTAGATCAATATATTAATTTACTAATTAGTTTTATAAGAAAGTAACTAACCTTTGCTTTCAGTCATGGAATCTGTCTAGCAAAAAACCCTTGCTGCAACAAATATAAGGTTATTATTTGGCACATAAGGAAATGAAGACTTTCAGGTTGAACCTTATACTCTCACAATAAAGCACAATTATTTGGGTTCCATAGGGAGAGTTAGAGAGCATCCAAATGCTCCCCTACTGCAAACTCTGTGTATCCCCTGAACTTACCAATCCAAGTTAGGACAGAGCAATTGCAGCTTGCTATATATACTGACTTTTGAGATAATATAAAAGGATTACAGGTAAAGCTTTAAGTAGGTTGTAAGATGACACCAGGGTTAACTCTTGATGTGCGCTACAAATATTCAAATTATAATTATTTTTTAAAATGAGATAGCTTCCTCAAAAAAAAAAAAATCAATGCAATAGGTATAAATGGAACTTATTGTGAAATTTGGAAAGTGAACAATTTGTGAGTGAGAAAATCAAGTGTTACCCCACAATGCTAAAATTTGAGATGTATAAATGACAATTCTGTGACAGGGCCATATCCTGTATCACTCCCTCACTCAGGGCCCAACTCAGGCAGAGGTGCATTTTAAGGATTTAGAGATTGCCCCACAAATTAGAACATGCACAAAAGCGTGGTACAGCAGGGAGCACTGCTGAGGGCAGTAAAAATGAGAATTAACAAAGCAGCACAGCCCCAGTTACTGCGCAGTGTCCCACCCACCTTCCAGGCACAGTGAGGAGATCATGCTGCTGAGCAAAACAACACACAACTGCAGCAAGGCTGTCTTTGGAGCTCTTATTCCATACAATGGCTTCAGGTTTGTGACAGAGTTGAAATATGCTGGCAAAACAGCCTGAGGGGAACTACCTCACTGTTCATAAAGAGGGATTGTCATAGATCTGCTCCTTTCTGAATAATATCCTCCATTCCCAGCCAAACATTAGCAAGAATCAATGAATTATGGCAATTCTGCTAATAGAATTAAACTGCCATTACAATCATAAACTCATGATTTGAGAAATAGCAATAATAAAGTGCCTTATCTTCTGTAACCATCTTTTGGCCAATATGGTTTTTAGGTAAGTACCCATAGGCATTCAAGAGCAATGGTGCAGGTAGTTAGAAACTATTACAAGTCAGATGTCTTGACACAGTCTGCAACTACTGAGCCCTTTAACATGAGGTCTAAATTAATTTACAGCCTGTCCTGGTCTGTATTCCTGGTTCTTGGAAATTTACAGTTTCAATTTACTGTTTCTTCCCATGACTGAATGTTTCATAAACATAAGGAATATTAGTGGACATAGAGTTGGGGAATGGGGAAAAATCTGCAATTTTGCCCATTGTATCCTCATATATCACAAAGTAACTCTAAGAGTTCATCTAGAGATTTTGGTTTTTCTAAATCTTTTAATGGATGGGCATGTTCAAGATAAACTGAAGTCTAAAAAAATAGCATCCATACATAGACCCACACAAGTACAGAGCCTACTTTTGATATATAGAAACCTGTAAATATTCTCAGGTCAGTTTCTTGACGTGGGAATGCACTCATTCCTCTCCTACCTTCACTTTTTCATGAGTATAGATATTGCACTGGGTGTAGTTTGTCCAGGTCCTGTTGCTTTCTGGGTGTCTGAACCAATTCCCATTTGGGTCACAGATCTTCGTAACTTTTTCTGCAATCAAAGTTGACGGAATAAAAAAAACAAAAGAAGAAAAGTGAAAGAAAAACACAACAGTCAGCACTGAAATTCTCTTTCCTGATGCCAAGTATTTAATAAAGATTGGCAAACAAATGACAGCTTTATTAATATGACTAGGGAGACTTTGCTTGTTACTATGAATTCTGAGAAACTTGAGGCCGTTGCTTTTGCTTGGCAAGGGCAACCGATGATGTGATTCTCCTTAAGAAAACAAATAGATTTTCCCTCTCCAATCCATTAAGTATCAAAATACATGGAACTGACTGTTAGAGAACTACCAGATGAAGCAACAAGAATATTTAAATGTCTTGCTTAACATCCAAGATGGAAACTGAAGCCTAATATCCTACCTGTATAAATTAGTATTGGACAGGCAGGAAAACATAAATAGCAAAACTGCTCTAAGAACCAAACTGGAAACACAGTGATTTCTATCATCAAATAGAGACATGGAAAGAGCCTGGGAAATACAAAGAAATCCATGATATTTTCCACGTGCTTACAAAGCTTAGCCCACAGAAACAGGAAATGATTCGAAGTGGGAGAAACCCTTCGTCAACTTCAACTGTTAAACTGAGGTAAAGCAGTAAGTCGTATTTCTTCTTGTCTGTCAGAAAAGCTCATCTCTAAGAGGAAAAAAGTGCAATCTAACTTAAATTCCTACTGCCTAATCTACAGAATCCCTCAGGGACGCAGCTCAGAAAAGAAAATAACTAACTTGTCAGTTTTCTATGAGATAAAAGGAAAATGCCAATAACTTGTCCTGAGTTTCTGAAATCCTGGAGCATTAATGACTTGAGTGAGGGAAACAAGAGACATCAAGCCCCCAGACTCCCATTTCAGTGAGAAATATGTTGATGTAGAAGTCCATGCTCTCATACCTGATGGGTTGAAGTCCTGAAAGTAGTCAGGACAACGCTGCACCGACACGGTTCCGGCAGCAACGTCACTCCAGCACAACCAGCCATCCCAGGTCCTGTTGCAGTAAGGACCTGCAAAGAGGGAGAGACCTGGGAATAAAATAACTCTTGCTTCAGAATGGTCTTTCAAAGGTAAGATATAGGACTGGGTAAGGTAGGTTTGCAGCAATGGGGAAAAAAAGAGAAAAGATTTGGCAGTGGTTGATTAAAACTTCACTTAACAGAGACAGTTCCTTATACATACATTTCTTTGAACACATTTCAAAATCTTTTCTCCTTCACCTTGAAATGGCCTACATCTACAACTGGCAAACCTCAGATCTAGAACATGGTGGGAAAAACCCCTGAATCGATTCACGCTCAATAATGTACCTTAGCAAAGAGCCTCACACTTTCAAAGTCGGCTTTACTGAATTTATTTCTATTTTGGATGTACACCAAGCCTGTACATGTGTTTGCTCATGCACAGAAAACACAGTGCTATCCCAGAAGCCATGAGAAAGCCTGGCTGGGAGGCAGCCCCAGCTGCTCTGCCTCAGGCTGGGCTGAGCCTGCAGCAGCCACTGTGGACAAACACTTCCCTAAGTGCCCCAGGAACAGGGAATCCAGTGTCCCTCAAGAGCCTGTTCCAATGCCTCATTGCTCACACACATTTCAACATCTAAATAAACCTCCCTTGAGAATGAGCTGGCATGTCACAAACAGCTTCTTTCCCAAAAGGCACACAGAATGACTGTGTGCCTCCCTACAAATTTCAAGATGTTTTTATAATCTCGCTTCAGTTTTCTTTTAAAGGCTGATTAATGCCCCCATCTCAAAGGCTGCAGCTCTCAAACATCGTGTAATTCCTCCTCATCTGGATATTTTCCAATTTGCGCAGGTCCTTCAGAAGCTGTGAGGCCCCCTTATGCCGTGGGCATGAGCTTACACTGCCATATCTGTACCCACTCCTGACCTCCAGGCACTCACTTCCTCCAAAGAAGCATTTCAGAAGGGAAAAACCTCTTTGTAGAAGAGCACAATCACCTTTCCTTGCCTCAAAAGCCACCCAGCACTTCCAGGAGCTTCCAAGTGAATACAGCAACAGGTGGGGTGGCTGAGGTCAGCCCTGAGTGGCTTATCAGGAAAAGCAGTAATGACACCAGCACAACCCTCAGAGCAGGGAAACTGTGTGGATTAAGATACTTACAATTTTTAAAGGCAGATGTGACCAGGCAGACAGAGGTATAAAAAGAGCATGAAATGAAATAAGGTGGTAAGATTAATTAGTCATGATTTTTTTAATGTAGACATCTACTTAAATTAACATTTTCTTATTTCATCAGAAAGAAAAGCTTTGTGGTATATTTGAAGTGGTGCTATGGGCAGATAGTATAACATATTACTTCACGCATCCTGAAGTGATGTTTACAAAAAATTGGGAAAATAATGTTACAACCTAAAAAATGATTGCTAGCAAGACAAGAAATTAATATAACTACAGGACCCTGAATTACTACAATAATATCTGTTGACCACTTGCATTAGTAAAAGCTCAGGAGAAAGCAATCTCTACCTTCTTTCTTGTGAATAGGGTCCTGCATGATCTTCTGGTAGCATTCATACTGTGCTGTCATGATTTTATTCCGGGTAACGCTCAGCTGGACAAAGTCCATGGTGGAGTTCTGCTGTCCTTCAGCTGGAGAAGCAGTGGCAAAAAACTAAGAGGAAAAACAGTTCTTTTAGCAAACCACAAGTACAAGCTCCAATACAAACTTTTTCAGCATCAATCTTTGCAAATATTGTACTTAAATGTTTTACTGAAAGAGAGTGATCTTCAAATCTTATTACTGACAATATGATTTAATGTTTTTATGGTAATTCTTGCTACTGAATCTTGATAAACATGTGCTGAATGAGCATAGGGTAGGAACAATTGGCAATATTTGTAAATAAGAATAGCAATATGCATAGAAAGCACGGAGACAGTCAGAAGCATATGACCAGCTTTTGTAAAACCCAGTGAAATATAACAAAGTTTAGTTTAAAAGACCTTTCAGTCAGGCCCAGAAAGAACCTTTGCAAAAAAAGACCTTCCATATATTTTATGCACTGAAGCATTTAGCTTGTCCAGAGCTATTTGGTTTCTCTGCAGTCAGGTGAACCATAAAGTCAACCCTCAGAATAGAGAATGTTATTCAAAAGACAAGACATCCACTTTGATAGTTATTAAAATTAAAAATTAAAAAAAATCTTAGGAAAGTTGATCTTGACCAAAACCTGAACCTTTTAAATGCATTTTTAATAGTAGTTAAATATTTTATGGGAAGCTTCTAAGCTTCACAGAAAAACAAAGCTGCAGATTGAAATACTGTACCACTGTTGTACAAGGGATGAAATTACAATTTCTGAGGATGCCTCTGAATCCCAGTTAGTTGTCTTCTCCTCCTCTTCCTGGGGTCTGCAGGGTACTGCCTCTGTGTCACTTGTCCACTGCTACTGTTCTGAGCCAGCAGAGAATGTGCTGGATTCAGCAGAGGTAAAAACTAATTCTGTTCCTTTGCCAAAGGAATTTAACAGATAATAGAAGATAAAGATCCTGTTATGCAGAAGCTACATCTGAACACAAGGTTAGCTCTTTCTGTGCTTCCATATTAATAATTTCTATGGTACTCTCTATAGGGTTGTTAAAACTGGAAGTGATTTAAAAAATTCATAAGACTCACCATAGTAACCAATAAGAGGAGCAGCAAAAATGTGATCCAGATTTTTGTCATTTTTATATCTGCTGCAGTCAATCTTATGTTGTAGCTGAATGAACTCAAACTGCAACAGGAAAAAAAAAGAAAGAAATTTAGGAATTAATGAAAGCCAACACTGATAAAAGAGTTTCATATTTTATTTCTGAACTAAAATAAATTGATGGAGGTGCTCTCCATTTCTATTCATGCATAGTGATGCCATGTGAAATACATGGGGATGCCCCAAAACAAGGCACTGAGTTCCCCAGCACTGAGCTCCAGCAGCAGGGTTTTCCTGCTCTGCTGCCTCCAGTGCCTCCACCAACACCTCCAGAGGGTTTGTACCCTGCCACCAACCCCACAAACAGCCCCAGACACAAACTGCACTCTGGCCACCTCTGCCTCTGGGAGCCCACAGCAAACTGCAGGTCAGTTCCCTCAAATACACACATTTATTTCCCATTTTCTTCCCACCTCCTGCTATTTAGTTTTGACATTTCTGGAATAACTGATCTAGTGAGAAGCCACTTCGTCCCGAACTTCCAGCCTTGCAAGGATGGTATTAGCAATGCAAGAATTCATTGTGAGCTGTAAATTAGTTTCTGTACATGCAGAACCTGTAGTTTCTTTACCTGTCATTGGAAGAAAACACAAATACCCAAGCCAGGAATGACCACCTTACACTGTAGACTCTTCTTGGAATTGATTCTTGAAGTGAAAAATTCACCCAAAGCATGAAATACACACAATTATTTATGAAGCATGTAGAACACCTATTCAGTGTAACCCTTCTGTGACAAGTGCCTCAAAAGGTAGGGAAATGTCAAGGAGTTTTGTCTTTTAATATTTCAGTGTCCTGAATTATCCTGAGAAGATCACAAAGCTGAGCCTGGAACAGAGATAAGACCTTTTCTTCTGATTGCTTTGTGGCAAAAGACCTCTGAATACCCAGTTTAGTTATTACAACTACAGCACATTTCCAAAATCCAGGTATCTCACTGCAGCAGCATTAATGAAGCTATTCTCAGCTAAAATAAAAGCAATAGTGTGTGCATGAGCTTGGCTCCCTGGCACAGATGAATTCACTCCAACTCTCAGAATGTGATTTAAGACACATTCTAGGATTTGCATGCCCAAAATCCTCACCCAGCTCAGAGAGCCCACTGGCAGAGAATCCAGAGGGCTGCGGTGCTGTGCCGCACACAAACCTGCATCCTGGCCCAAGCCACACTCCCCTCACATCACAGCTGCTCTCATCTCTGCAAGTTTTCCTTTCCAGCAGTGATGTGCTGTGAGAGAATGGGGCATGACAAACAATTGGCTGTACAGAGATTACGGCACAAAAAGCTCATTTCACCCCTGTCCCAGTCACAAAAAGCAAACATTCAACATCCAACTCTTCTGCTGGGACTGGGTCCTCCTAATACAACTACAGTACAATAAACAGCTTCTTGCAGGACATATTAACACTAAATATGAGGTCACTGGTGTTTATTGCACAGCCTGCTGCAAAGACAAGAAATGTGTTGTAAAATCAGCTGTGCCTGTTTAACCCAGACTGAAGTTGTATCCATAACCTTCCTTCTATTTTCACCAGTGGCATGCAGTCCTGGAACACTGCTGCAAATTGCACAGGTGAACACTGCTGCAAATTGCACAGGTGAGGCTCTGAAACTCAAATCTGAAGGATCTTAAAACTCTTAAAGGAAGACAAATTAGTACACACGAAATATATCCTTGGTTTGAGCTACTAACTGCCTGGAAAATCCACATGATAAGAACTAAAGTGAATGGATAACTTTAAAGACCTTGATCTGCTAGCTAAAGAAAAATTTAAATATCTTTGTGAAGTGACTAAGGCTTGACTAAAATCAGACTTTAAAATATATCTAAATTAACAGAAGGGCAATATGAGCTGAATTCTGCATGACAACTGGGGGCAAGTGTGATTAATTCAAACTTATCACATGTTTCATTCATTTACAGCTGTGTCTGTTTTCCTAGGGGAAAAACCCCTGACCTTGTAAGGAAATTTGAAGTAATAACTTACTGTAAAGTAATTCAATAATATTTTCTCTCCCAAGTATGACAAAGCACATCTGTGCAGGGTTAAAACCCACAAATGATGCACACAGGAGAGGCTGAGAGATGAACCAAGTAGAAAATAGCAACAATAATTTAGTGTGTATTTTTCCATACATGTACACAAGAGTTCAAAATAATTTTCTCTACAATAGTTCCAAAAATCCTTATGCTAAAACAAATGTTGGATGAAAAATTCAAAATGCACGTTTGTATATTGCTCTCACTTAGCCTTGCTTATTTTAATTTATCTAGAAGATACAACATCATATAAACAAAGGCAGAAATTATCTGCTTTGATTCAGAGTCCAAGTTTATTTCTGTTTCACAGTATTAAAAGTCATCCCTTAGCTCAGTTCCTTTAGTGGTCCAAGTCCTTTCATACCTCGTAGTTCTGCAGACATTTCCTATCAACTGCTCCAGTACCTGCTGCTAAATTATTAAGTCTTCCCAGGAGATAAAATGTTAAGTGAAGCCTATAATGCACTTTATGCTTTCTACTCATTTCTCTCAGTTGCTAACATACAGAGAGAAAAAATCCCCAACCACTGCCCTTTTCTAGACATCACTACTTATGGACTTAATTACAAAATGCAGGATGAAGGTCATTCAGATGCCTGTTTGAACTGCAGGAAAGCATTTCTTGCATCACTACATGAATTCATTCACTCAACATTTATTCCAGTTAGTCTGGACAAGACCTTTCCAAGGAAAATGAAGAACTTTCTTAGGGATGGACAGCAATATATTCCATTGACTGAGGCAGAAAGCCAGTACTGCTAAGAAAGTCAAGCTGCTTTTATTAATCATCTGCTCTGATGAGATACAAACCAAAACGAATTCTCTGGAAGTTCCTTCCCTCTCAAAGCTGGGAGGTATTAGGCACACAAGAAATTAATAGTGAAAAGAGACCATTCTTAGGTTTCCTTAAACAATGATGCTTCCCAAGTTGTTCTGCTATTGTAAATCTGACAAGTCCATCATGGGGCAGAGAAAAGACCTGTACTGGATTGAGATTAATCTGAGTGTCCTGAATGAATCCACTCAGTGACAGTGGGAATCTGCACAAAAGTCAGGAGGGTTGGGGTTTACATGGCAGGTATTGACTGAAACTGAGATCTGGCAGTCTAAAAGGGAACACCAGAGAGAAAAGAATGTGGAATTCTAACAGGAAATCAGATCTTCCAGATCTTTGAAATATCATTTTTATTTCTGGTGCACGTTTGTGCATTTAGTGAAGACTGGGATAACTTAAACAAAACAAAACAAGGACAAAAAAGGAGCTGCAAGTAATGATACTCCCAAGGCCTGTGTTGTGTTTGTCACTGATAGCAGTGACACCTACTGAAGAACGAGGAATTAAAAAGGAACTGCAAGCTGGACTTAGCCAAAATAGTCACTGGTATAGCTTTAACAGATGTTCCCATTTCTCTTCCTCCTGCTTTCTCTACAGAGCCATCCTGCCTCATCAGCTGTTTCTACTTTTAACTTTTCCCCATCCTCCCAGGAGTAAGTGGCACCCTTGCTGAGCTCCAGACACTTCCCCTTTCAACCATACAGTAAAAGGTTAAAAAAAGGAGTCATTAAAAAGAAAAAAAAATCATTTTTTGAACTTGAAAACCACATTTTGTAAAAAACAAAAGCATAGACAGCTTCCACCTCAAGCAGTTCTCAAATCTGACTTCAAGCGAGAATGCAGCTCTGTGGGAGTGGGACAGGAGGGAGAGCTTATGGCACTGCAGGTCCATCCATAAATGCCCAAACATTTTTCATTAATTGGTAATCTTTAATTTGCCCAGAAGCCAAAAAAACAACCATTCCCAATGACAACAAAGGGAAAGCCACAAAACTTGTGCAGTGTGAATTATCTACCTTGCAGCGTGCTGTAACCTTGTAACACTGGACTTGAACATGTTTGCATACAGATACACGCCTTCATCTGAAAACGGGATCACAATGGGTATTTTCTTGACACTTTGCTGCTTCTGGTTCTTTTTGGAGGGAGGCATACAACTTCAAGTATTTAAAACCTCGGGCAGTGTTTGGTTGTTTCAGCCCAACATAAAGGCAAAACCTTTACTTTTCAAAGTGTCCCTAATTTGAATTTCTGCTCAAACTGCACTCGTAATAAAAAACTCCCCCAAACCAACAAAACTAGTAGCCTCAAATGGAATTACAGATAGAGTCTCCACTTGTATCTTCACTCACATAAACTTTCTGGGAAATACATCTCTGACTAAAAAGGCTTCACAAGTGGGCAGCACCAGCCAAGCAATAATACACACCAGATTCACTGAGTCCTGGACATGGACTGCAAAATCCCCACACCTACGTTAGAGAACAATGCAAGGCAGTCTGGAAATCTTCCTATTTGGGTAATCAGCCTTTTTTTCTGAGGGAATCACTTCTGCCAGGATTTGAACAAACTGCTCAATGGTATCCCATAATTGCTCACAGCTGTATGTGTGGGAATTACTCCATTCTCCTGACAATTATGGAGCTTGAAAGTAAAGGTAAATAAAATACAACATTCTCTCTCATAAAACACAAATATTCTCTCTCTACCTTTCTTTCCAGGAGTTTCCTAGGAAGAACTTCTGACACAATGGCATTTACTGTCTTCTTGAGGATTAAAAGAAATAGACACAGTGGCATATCCCAATTTATCCCCGAGTTATTCTACAGCACCTTCCTTGTGCAGGTGGCAGGTCAGCCCAGCAGGAGCAAGTCCTCACTGCTAAATTCCTGGGCCATGTGCTGTGCTGGTCTCATGGTGCAGGTCTGTGCAAGCAGGAAATTGGGACTGGCTCACCAGGATGTTTCACATCTTGTATCCTCTTTATTAGCACACTTTTTGCTTTTGTTTTTGCACCACTCTGGCTGCATGTCAGAGGCCTCGCAGAGATTGCAGAACCATCTGCATATGAGATTACAGAGATTAAATTACTCCTGGGTGCTTCTTCCCATGAATAGCTTTTGGCAACCATTCAGATAAGTTTTGTC